CCCCCCCGCCCCAACGCACTGCAGCAGTAGGAGAATTCTGGACAAAAAAAAAATAAAATAAAACCCCAAAAGGTGCTGTTCACCCTGGAGATTAAATAACAGAAATAATTACATTGTTTGTGGATAAATTCAGGAAAAAATAATCATCTTTATTATTTAACTTAACCCCCTGCCCTCTGCAAACCCACCCCCCTCCCTGTCCCTGAAGGCACGAAGATAATTGGAACTGGATGGTTAGTAAAAATGCTGAGATCTAATTTGCTTTGCTTTGGTGCTTGGAAAAAAACATTAATTTTTGTTTTATATATATACACAAAGGTGGGTTTGTCTTTAATATAATTTTTTTTCCTTATATGACAAAAAAGCAACAAAAAGAAGAAGAAATTGACTCTGTTAATATAACTTCCGTTAAAAATCTCTCGTTTTCTCTCGCTTTCCTCCTCCGTCTCTCTCGCCCAGCTCTAATGGGTGGGTCTGTGCACGGCTCTGCCGCTGGGTCTCGACCGGCTCCTGGGGCTCCTCTTGTATAACCTGCGCTGGTAGTTGGATGCTGTGGAAGAAGGAGGAGAAGAAAAGGCACCTTGTTAGCGGGAGCTGGGACAGAGATGCTGCTTGTCCCGCACTGGCTGCCCTGGCCCCTGACTTCCTGGAAAAACATGGGCAGCCGCAGGCAGCTCTGCCTGGTGGGCGGCTGTGTGTGCCCCAGCGCCAGCCTGCCTTCCCACCCAAATTGGCCCTTCTCTTGCCCTTGCTGCCAGCGTTTGCTTCACCCGGGCGTGAAGGTGCCTGGGTGCCTCCCCGGATCCTGGGCAGGAGCATCCTTTCCACGGATGCTTGTCCCATCCCATCCCATCCCATCCCATCCCTGTGCCCGGGTCAGAGGGCAGCTCTGCTAACGGGAGTGGGCATGGGGATTGCTTCGCCATCTCGCCTGCTGCCCTACCAGTCCCTCCCCGATCCCCTGGGACAGGGAGGGAAATGTCCATCAGCGGTGGGATGTGCTCAGGACACAGGAGAGGAAACAGTCCCGTCTGGCTGGCAGGGACAAGGTTTCTGCCTGATCTTTGTGGCCAGTCTCCCTCGAATTTGGCACTGCTCAGGCCAGGAGGGATGGAAGAGACAAAAGCTGGTTGGGAACAGCCTAGGTCTCTTGATTGCTGGTGGTCCATGCCAGGAGCAGCTTGCAGCTCTCCAGATCCATGGCAGAGCCAAGGGAATCAGCAACTTGGTCCACGTCACATGGACACCTCCTCCATCCCTCCATCTCCTCTCTGGAGCGGAGGTTTGTCCTTTAAGCCCATATCGACTTTCCCTGGCCATGGGACTGTTGCTTTAGCTGTAATTGCCCAGCTGGACCAGAACCTGGCAGGGAGGTTACTGGACAGATGCTGTTTGTCTGAGGCTGATAAAATTACTGGGAAGCTGCAGGCGAGTAGGGATGGGACAGGGGTGTAGGCAGGCCTGGGAGTGGGCTGGGACACCAGTGGGAGAAGGCTGGCTGCCATCAGCTGGAGACCTGACAGGAGAAGGGTCAGGAACCCAGCCCTGTTGCTTGGCTTGGCTCTGCCACAGGGTTCCTGTCCGCTCCTGGGGCAGGGGATGCTGAGTTGGGCTTGGGAGGACCACAGCTCCCCCCTTCTATTCTCTCTGCTGCTGCAGGTGGTGCTAAAACTCATCCTTTCAGAAGCCATTTCTTTTTCTTTCCTTTCTTTAAGCAGCCTGGGCCCTTCATAAGCATCTCGTTGCCCTTTCCTGGCTCTGGACCTGCCCCTACCCCGCCTAGGTGGAGGAGTCTCCAGGGCAGGAATCGTCCGGGCTGTCTCTCCAGCCAGCCCTTGTGGTCCACACCTCCCCACGGCCCCATCACAAAGGAGTTTTCAGCAAGTCAAGGGGACCACGATGTTCCCTTCTGCCTGGCTCATCCCCAGCTCCTCCTCCCTGCTGTAGGGATATGTCAGCCCTGACTCGAAGGCGAAGAGGCCAAGACGTACGGTTTATGCAGGATATCCGCGGCTCCTCCCACTGCCCGTTGGGCTGGCACCGAATTGTGGGCACGTGGCGCTGGATGTAGCCTTGGTTGCACTGGTACCGCACCATGGAGTTTATTTCATAGCGGTCCTTCTTCCGACCGAAGGTCCTGGCATTCTCCACTGCGGGAGGGTCCCCACAGGCCACTGCAGGAGATGGACAGAGACATGGAGGGCTCGAGGAGTTCTGCCTGGCTCACACCTGGGCAGCTGCCTGCCTGGCACAGGCTGGGCATGCACAGCCTTGTTGCTTAGCTTCTCCTGCACCCCATCCCATGGGGTGTCTAAGCATTGGAGAGCGGCAATAGCTCGACCAGTAGCTGCCTGAAAGGCAGTCAGTCACTTCTGGGGTGGAACAAGGCAGCTGTGTCCACAGCCCTGAGATGCAGTGGGAGCGATGCCCTCCCCTGTTATTCCCCCCTCCTTGGAATAACATCTCTGATCTAGAAGGTGTCTGGGTCCTATGTGGGCAGGTGTCATCATCTGATCCTACCAGGCTTTTTTTTTGCTCTATCCGTAGAGGGGTCATTTCCTTTGTTTGGGGGGAAAAAAGATGGAGACAGTACAAAAAAGGGGGAGTTGATTTAAAAGTTCATAAAACCTTAAATCCCTTTGAGATTGCCTCTGTCGAAAAAATTTAGGGGCAGGGGGATATGGAAATTCTACAATGGGCCTCAAAATTAAGCACTGGTCTGCCTCAGGGCTCCGTCCCTGCCTCCCAGAGAGCCAGTGAAAGCTGGCCATCATAACAGCTGCTTGCAGCCGTGGAAAGGCATGGAGAGGACACGAAACCCTGGCCCTGGTTCCAGTCCCACAGAGCAAGTCCCCTGGCGAAAGGTGCTGACCTGTTCCTTTCTTGCACGTGAAAGGGAGGTGATAGTTGCAGGGGACGTCATTCCATTCGCCTTGCTCGTGCCAGATCATCACGACGCAGTCCTCACCCGCCGCGAAGAAGTTATCGGGTTGGTTGGGCCGCCAGTTCTCAAATTGCTGTGGAGAGGAAAGCCCTTTGCCTAAGGCTGAGCCCTCCCCTCTCCCGCTCCCTCCATCCCTGTGGCTTCCTCCCCCATGCATCTCCCCAGCAGTGGCCGTGGGTTGCCAGCACTGCTACTACAGTGGTTATTTCTGCCGCGATGGTGCCCAGGAGCTTGGCTGACCAGCTTTACTAGAAGCTTGGAAAAACTATGAGCCTTACAAAGTTTAGAGCTATCTCCACCCAAAGCCCAAC